CTCTTCTAAATTATTTGAAAACCAATATTAACATTACATCAAGATCAAAAAGCAAATCAATAATGCTAATGTAGTAATGTACTTAATAATCTAGCAGAACAGTAAAACATACCGCACTTAATGAAAATTTACCTTCATAGAAGGCCAATTACAAAAGAAGAATAAACAAAAGTTAAAAAGTAAAAAATGAAACATTTCTACTGCATTTTCTTCCCACTCTGCAGGAGCCTCTCCTTGTAAGTCCTCCGTGCCTCCATCTTCATTATATGGGCCAGAAAATCGGCCCACGAATCAATGGGCCCAGGCAGGCACCAATGCACGCAGTCATTATACAGAGTCACATTCTCATTGGGCCAGTGCCCGTACCTGCTCGGATGCCCATCGGGCCTCAGCAGCATGGCCTGCGTAGTGTCCATCAGCCTCAACTTTTTCCTCCCAATCCTCGCCGCTGCCCTAAACTCCTCCAGCTGGACCATGTAAAATTCCAAATTCATCCCTTCCAAAACCGCCTCCTTTCCCGCAAACGGCCGCCGCCGCACGCAGTCGCCGCCCTCGTTCCACAGCCCGTTCTCGAAGTGCGAAGGAGCGAACGTCCGGAGGATCGTGACGCCGTCGAATCCCCGCCGCCCGTTGATTGCGGCGAACGCCGTACGGAAGGCGCGGCGGTAGCCGTACGACATTGGGAGGTCGGCGAGGTTGGGGATCTGGCAGTAGCGGCAGCCGACGGCGTGGCGGCGCTCGTAGTAGACGGCGGTGCGGGTGAACCAGTGACCGGCGCTGAGGATGAGGTAGTCGAAGCCGTCGATCTGGGTGGACCACGACTCGTCCGGTTCGTCGAGGTAGAGGTTGAATAGACCGGTGTGGGTCGGGCCGTCCGAGTCGCGCTCCCTGGATCGGACCAGGAATGGGGACGTGAAGTAGGCGAGGGTAAAATTGTAATTTTCGTACCGCCAGCGCTTGAAGTGCTCGTCCGGCGTTGGGGAGACGTCAATTGGGTACTCGACCTTTGGATTGGAAAGTAAAAATGATAAATGAGTTGTTATTTTAGTAAAATTCATTTTTTATGTTACTGCAAATATTTTTAAAACTGAATTTTAGATGGAAAAATGATTGAAAAAGACCAACACTTAAAAAAAATACTAAAAAATAAATTAAAAAAAAATGAGCACTAAAAATAAAGAACCTATGGGGTGTCATGCATTGATTCGCGAATAATTTTTATAGAAATGCTACGGTTCGTTATAGAACTATTATGTTGGGGTTTGTAACCGTTGGATAATCATGTAACCGTCGTGAATTGTTGATCTAACGGTTACAAACTCCGACAGAATAGTTCCACAACGGGACCGTAACATCTCGCTATTTTTTAAACTTAGAAATTGATAGATACTCACAGCTTGTGGAAAAAGACATTTATCTCATTATTTCCAGATTACAAAGCTTTATTATTAATTTGCATTTAAGATATATATGAAGAATCTGAATAAAATGAAATTACATAATAGTGGTCCATATCATATCTGCAAGCACATGCACTGTTCAGCTTTTCATAAACCATATGAGGACCCTTTTTTTTTTCACAAAAAATTCAATCAAAAATTTTGGTTTTATTTCACTATTTACAGTGTTGAACAAAGCTATACAAGTGTATCATGCCATTATTGTGGGGGCAGCATGGACAATATTTTCCAAAACTAGATAGTGAGAGATGTGTGCTTTAATATTTTTCATTGAGATTACATAGAATTTGGAGATTGCTGTCACTTTATTCTCCTGTCAATTGATCCCATTTCTCAAACTTTTATCATAATGGTGAAGTATGTAAGTTTTTTTTTTTTTAAATAAAAAAAAAAACTATAAATGTATGTATATCAATGGATAAATCATGACTTATCTTAATTAGATCGGACTAATAACAACGTACCGAATAAAGAGATATCTAATGGGTTTTGATTTTTCGAACGTCCACCAAATTAATTATCGGTACACGCGTAGTGGATTAAGGGTATGTTTTGGTAAATTTAGGCGATAACTGATAAGTTAGCTAATAAATTATAAATACATTCTGAGATTGTACCTTGTAGTTTATATTTAATTGTTTTGAATAGACTACTTGTTTTGAAAAGCTACATATAAAATGTTATGAAATAAACTATAGTTTATTTAAGAAATTTATCCTACCAAACTAAAATTATTTATATATACAATGAGCTTATAAGTTAATTAAATAAGTTATGATACTTACCAAAAACACCCTAACTATCATGCAAATAAAAAATAGGAACATGTGAGCTCAACTATAAACTATAGAGAATTGATTAATTAATTTACCTAAGGGTATCTATGCCAATACCGTTCACTTGTACAAAAATTACAATATTTATCATCCTCATCATCTTTATATCATCATTTTATTAAATATTTTTTTCATTTAAACATAATTTAAAATGATTATGCCTCACCAGTTCTTTGTTAAACATCGTTTAACGAATGAATTACAAATATGGGGCCCACATTATTGTCTTTCAAATGGATGAGTTGCAATGGTATTAACACAGCACCTTTCATTTAAATGGAAGACTAATGCTAATGAAGATGCTCTACTATAGACATGGCCACATGTCACCCAGGTCGGAACTCGACACGAATCCGGCCCAGTTAAACCCATGGTCAATGGGTTTGGACCCGTGGCCATATCTATATCGGGCCGGTTCAGGGTCGGGTATTTGTAGCAATTCACAGACGAGTCAGGTCAGGCCAGGGCTGCTCAAAAAATCGTCGGTCGATTTTTTTTTCATTTATTTTAAGATGAGTCTCGGATTCGGGTCATGTTCAGGGTCGACCATTTTGAACCCGGAGGCCCGAGCCCGGCGCGGGATTTGGCCATGTGTACTCTAATGTAAGTCAAGTACACATTGTTATAGAGGTGAGAGGATGCTTGGATAAATCCAATCACTTTCGAACAACCATTTTTTTATCTAAAAAACTAGGCAAAATTGCATATAAAAGCACCACCTTTTATGTTTTTGCAATTTAATCACCACCTTTGTAATTTAGCAATTTAATACACAACTTTACTTATTTCTTGCAATTCGAATCACAGGGCCGAATTTCGGGCCTGTTCTGGTGACGTGGCATTTTGTGGTGACGTGGCGTTTCCACGTGTCAATGACGGGGCATCTTTGGGCTGACGTGACAGTCTATGTCAATTAAGAAAAA